TCATCCAATACCTCAGCGTATTTATGTTTTAGTTCCGGTCTTTCCTCCAGACTCCTATTTTGTCTGGAAAGTCTTCTTTGAAGGGTAATTTAACCATATAGCGTCCATCTGCTTGCCGAATTGTTGTCGAACGGTACAATTTCTCGCAGCGTTTTCTCTGTGGAGACTTCTTCTTGTTCCCATAATTTCCTTAAAAGACTGTTAAGGGAGTCGTTTTGCGATTCGGTGACACACGTGGAGAATGTTGATATTTCTTCAGCAATCGGCCCGCTGAGGATCCATCCGAATATCGTGTTTTGTGCCATAAGTGTACCACATACGTTGTGATGGAGTCCTTGTACCAGAATCTGTGGGGTGATATCGCTACCGATTACCATGTCGACTCTTCCGGGTGAACAACAATTTGGATCTGCCAGTGATAATGTGGCAAGCTCGATTAGATCGGGATTTGACACTTTGAAGGTTGGGAGGAAATGGGTAAGCTGCGGCATGATTGCCTGAGCCTTTATTTTTTGAGTCAGATCTGATGAACACAGTGTCAATTCGCAGACCTTTTTGGAATTTTTAACTATCAAGCCGCCCATTCCGGAAATTTCGTAGTGTATTTCTCGTGTTGGCAAGCCAAGGAGTTTTTGTAGTCGGGAGGCTACAAATGTCTTTTCTGATCCCTGATCTATAAGGGCTCGGATCTTATGGAACTCGCCAGCAAAGTATATGGGGACTATTGCTGTTGGCAGAAGGGTGGCTCCATTGCTACTCGCGAAATGTAACGAAACCTTATTCACGTTGTTTTCCATAAAACTTTGTGTTCGTAAGCCCAGCGTAATGTCTTTAGATGACGAAGGCCCTTCATTATCTACCCTCAGTGTCGCCATTTGAGTTATGGTTTTTTGGGGTTTAGAGTTTGGTTTTTGACCTTGGGGTTTGGCTTGAAAATGTAACAACGAGTTATGTCTTTTTTGCCAATACACGCATGAGAAATTGCTTTGACATTCATTATTTAAGTTTGAGTAGGAGAGGCAGTTTTCGCAATAGTTATTTTCCTTTACGAACTTGAGACGTTCTGGCACCGAAAGGGTTTTGAATCTTACGCAGTGTTTCATTCCGTGATTGCTATTGCACAGTTTACATGAAACGCGTTTAGCAAACTCTGTATGGAAAGTTTGAGTCCTGTTTTTATTAACAAAATTTGAACTTTGATTAACTGCTCTTGGGGTAAAATTTTGAAATTGGGGTTTTATCTTGCCTGGCCGATATGTACTCAGCCTTTCCACGACCTCGTATCGGCTCGTGAGAAATTTATCCATCTCTGACCACCGTGGCAATGCCTTGCGGGAGCTGAGGGATTGCTCCCACAGGGAGAGTGTCTCACTTGGCAATTTTGATGAGCACAATTATACCAGGATGGGGTCCCAGTCAGTGGTGGAGATTTTCTGTGCAGT